GGATATGATAAAATTACACAGTGTATGAGACATGCTGCGTTATCTTTTTTTTTTTTATTAATTTATTATTTTATTATTCACTTATCTACCAACAAAACAAACTCATTTTGTCAAATTTGTGCACACCAGGGTAATGCTGGAAGTGTTATTATAATATAATATAATATAATATAAAAAAAAAATGGAAAGTGAAGGAAGTGCATCTGGTGAAGAAATAGTGCAAGAAAATTAGTGAGTATTTTATAAAAATACATATATACCTACACATTATATATATTATACAGAGTGTCCCACAGAGATCTGATATTCTGACAAATGAAATAACTTTTGTTCTAATCAATTTTTTTAAAAAATTTCTTTTGAATATAATTCGTAGACACTTGCGCTACATTTTTAGAATACATTTTTTATTTTTTATTTTTTAATACTGAAAATAAAAATTGATAACATTTTTTTTCGAAATATTCAATATAGCCAATTTGTAAATCTGATTTTTAGAAAAATTTATATGGTAAAAACACTTATTTAAGTAAAATGGCTGATTTTTTACAATTGTTTTAAATATCAATATTTGGAACATTTCTACTTTACGGGACACCCCTTTTTATGGGCATTTTTTGCGGGAACTTAGTCATATTTTTGACGAAAAAAATGATGTTGAAATCAGAATTTGGCGTACGAACTTACTTTCAGAGTTATAGCTATTTGAAGTTTTCTGTTTATTCTGTTTATACTATAATCCTTAAATACCCATTTTGCATTTAAAAGACTATCGTTGAATTGTGTGCAGACAAAAGCTCAAAGTGTCTTAGATTTTATTAGAAATAGAAATGGAGTTTCAATAATGACTTTCAATTGCCAAAGTCTTAACAGTCACAAATACGATTTACAAGATTACGTAACTAGACAAACAAATGTGATACTTCCAAGCGAAACATGCATGTCAAATGATTATCCGATTGACATACCTAATTTCAATTGCATCGTTCATTTCAAACGAGATACTGTTTCAAAGGGTGGGGTAGCCATTTACCAAAATAATAATGATACTATCAATAATATGACTCCGAATATTGATATAAATGTGGCAAATGTTGTAGATTTAAATGTTAGACACTCAAATGTTGGAGATATTTGTGGGTGCTTATGCAAACTGCAAAATGGCCTAGAAATAGTCATTGTAGTCATTTACATTACTCCAAATCCAAAATTGGACGAGGTAGAATATTTTATTCATCGCACTTTACTGGAATACACTGTAGAAGGGTCAAAAATACTTGGTGGAAATTCCCATAAATTTCCACTTATCTTGGCTGGCGATTTCAACATTAACTTCGCTGATAAAAAATCAGAGCGACTAACAACGTTTCTCTTAGAAAAATTAAATGTACGTATAAATAATGATCCACAAGAATCTACTACAAAATATGAGACCCCCATCGACGCCGTATTTTCCAGATATTTGGAGAATATTAAATCTCAAACTTATAATTCATATTTTAGTTATCATAAGCCTATAGTTTCTATGATACAAATTCCTAAATAACTAGAATAATAAAAAAATTTAAAATTATATCAACTTCTTATTTATTTAATATGCAATAGCTTTATCGCAGCAGTCCCCGAGTGCTACTTGCCTTTTTTTAAAATAGTTTAGGTAAATAAGTATAGAAAAATAACTAGAAATTACCATTATCACTATTCAGATTTTCTCTTTCATTTTCAATTACACTACTGCTACATTTTTTCAAATTATTGTCACCTAAAGATGAAAAGTGGAAAGTATATTTATAAAATTATTCAGTTAAAACATAATATATCTAATGTTTTATATTATTATAATTTTGTTTTTTAATTAAACTAATTCTGAAGTCTTAACATTATTCCAAAATTAAATACAATACAATTAATGCATCAATTTACCTTCTAGCTTAGTATGATTTGAAAAATTGTCTGTTATATTAGCATATAAAAAATGCATAATATATCTATAATATAAATATATTATAACAACATCAATTATCAATTAAGTACATCTAATTATACAAGTGTTTAAGTTAAGTTTTTATACTTCAAATAATGTTAAAAATTATAAATATAATAGACACATTCAGTCCATTCAGAACACAAATTGTGTCTTAAATATTTTAATTACTTATATTTATTTGACAAACCCTACTTATTTTATACTGCTAATTGCTCCCTGTCAAATGTAATAACGATATTAAGATATCTATATAAAATATAGTGTAATTTTAGTTAATATATAATATAACCAATGTGAGTACTTACTTGATTTTACAAAATTTAATTTTTTTTGATTAGGGTTTTGACCTTCCTTTCTAAGCAACTCTTTCTCCTTTTTTTTTCGTTTAGCACTTCCGCTTTTATGTAATTTTTTGGAATTGCCCATTGAAAAAAATAAAACAGCACGTAAACGTCTGTTTTAACTGTATGTCTGTATGTACCTACTATGCAATGTGTAAGAACTAAGGAATATAATATATAACACTGAATACTGATCCACTATATAACTTAAACTATCAAGAAAAATGACTAACGATTAACCGCGAGTTAGTAGAAACGTTATGTCTGCAATTGTGCAATAAGTATATAATAATTATAATTCTACAATTTGTTTGTGATAAGATATCGGTAAAATAGTAAATATTACATTATATTACCGCACACAAATACACGACAGCATTGAAAAAGTCCAATGTTTAGTTTAGATTATTCTAAAAATAGTATCTACAACAACCGATTTGTGAGTGATTACCCACTTCACCAGTTACCAGTTTCAACCGTGACCCACTACCCGCCGCCAACCATTAACCGACGCGCGACGTTGTAGTTTTGAGAGCGCGGCGGCTGCGGGCCGATAAGAAATGTTTTGAAAACATCGAGGTATATAAACTATAGTTTATATACCTCGATGTTTGAAAAAGACCACAGATAGTAATGTATATGAGATATAACTGATATAAGATTATAATATTTAATTTGATATTTCAAATTATTTCTATCGTAGGTAATTGCATTTTATTAAAGGGCCCCATTACCGAAATACGAAGGGGGGCCCACCGGGAAATTCCCGGTTTCCCGGTAGGCCTATCCGCCCATGGCAGTCCCTGTTAACTTAAAGTCAAGACCACCGTTATCCGTCAGCCATCTACCGTCTACCGTTATTGTCACCGTCTACCGTCATCCGTCACCTACTCACCGTCATCCGTCACCTACTCACCGTCTACCTGTACCTGTTTACCATCAACCGTCAGCCGGGACTGCAGCCGCCGTCACGGTTTTTATGTCTATACTTTTATATACCTTATTTATTTATACTCAATTATTGTAGCGTTAGTTAATTATTCCCCTTTGCTGGCCAGCACCTTTTGTGCCACTTATACAACATTTACCTATATTTTTTTCTTGTTTAATAGTAAGCCGCAAACCGGCATTGATTTGTATCTTATCGAGTCTGATTTATTGCGTAGCCTTTACCTTACCAAAAAATACAGTCCACTTCATCCTTCGATACCAAACACCTTATACCATCAATATCCAACCAAATATTTTTCAAATTACAATTACTAAACTCTATTGGGTTAGGTCTCCCAATTGATTATTTAATCTATCTGTCTGAAAAGCTACGATAGCCAATAAAGGATTATGGACATTTCTATACATATTTGTCATATCTTTGTTTAGTGTTTTACCAGTAATATTACTTTCAATACATTGCCATGATTTGAATCTAAATAGATATGCATTTCTCTTGGACAATGAAACTAAATCATTTATCAATTTAAATTTATACGCATCTTTATAAGTCACAATTGGTATGCTAATAAGTAATTCTTCAATAACAACTTTTCCAGTTCCAGGCACTTCATTTGTTTAATCATTTTTGTCTCTAAATAAAGCATCATCGTCACTACGTCTTACAAAAATTATTTCAAAACTTCCTCTATATACTGGGTATTCTATATCTTTAAAAAACCCTAAACACAAATTAGACACGTTACCAATAGCACTAAAATTACCACCAGCGCTAAATTTTGATTGAAATCTACTATTTATTGTTGGTCCACTAAGATCTGCAGAATAACTAATTGTACCTTTAATCAAACTAGCTCTACCAACATTATCAATTCTATCTAATTCTTTACAATGTTTTTTAACACAAATTGGCTCAAACAAAAATCCAGGAAAATTGTCAACTAATATTACATTTGATCCTTTAGGATAACTAGTACCATCAGTTTGTAAAACTTGGCCAGAAATTTGAAACTTTGCTTTTTTAACATTTAAGAAACTATTTTCTTCATTTATGTTAAAAGTAGTAATTTTGATAGGAGCATTAAGACTTGATGTTGATATAGGGTAAAATACTTTATCCTGTTCGCGGATAATAGCATGGTCATAATTAGCAAATATATTTTCCATTTATAGGAAGAAAAATTAATAAAGTATTCTTAGTTTCTTAAATCATAATTCTTAATAAAATCTAAGCATAAATGACCACATATAGGTGGATCAGTAAAGTTTGTCTTTGATCAGTGGTGTAATATGAATCATCTTTTCCTAAATAATTTACAATTTCTTTAATTGGTGGAGAAAACCCATAAGAGTCAAAATATACTTTTTTATTATCATTTTTACCCATGCAACCCAATGTGAACCAGGTTGACTAGAATTATTTAAATTTAATATTCCACATTCATTTTTCCAAGGCACTGCGGGTAGCTCATCTTTCATAAAACAACCTCTAAAATTTTTTGTATTTTTTCCTGCTTTAATAATATCATAATTAGTTAATGGTTTTATTTTTTTTTTTAGACCTGAACCAATCTGTAAAGTCTTAATTTTCCTAACATTTTAGATTGGAAAAGTGACCAGTTTCGATGGCGTGAATACGGTCGAAAGAAAATTCCTAAAGCTGATCCATATCTCCAATGTATTTATTACAAATCTTTTGTGTTGATAAGAAGTTTCCAAAGATGGCGTATTCATTATTGAGCGATGGTAAATTTGCTTCTACGACCATTGTTCATTATTTTGGATCTACTGATGGTATCATTGAAACACCTCATGAGAACACGAATCTTAAACCGGAAAATGACAGTTTTAGACCACATGTTATGACAGCTAAATCTCAACTTCAGTGTCAAAAAGATAATTTAGTTGGCCCACCTAAACAATTATATAGGAAGCAAGTGACACTAGTTGATGCACACCCAGCTCAGGAACCAGTAATGAAGTATTACCAGAATTATAAACAGTGTGCAAACACTGTAGCTATGGAAAGACAAAGACGCATGCTGTCAAGTGATGATGTATTTGGGTTATACATATAACACGAGGAAGTGCCAAACTTTATTCAAAACATGCAACTTATTCCAAACTTTGTAGTGGTTTTGATGACTAAAAATATGGCAGAGGTTTTTACAACTATTAGTCATTTACCTGAAGTAGTCTTGCATTATGACACCACTTTCAATATCGGAGATTTTTACCTGTCAATTCTGATTTTTAAACATCCATTATTTGAAAGCAAACCAGTTATACCATTGGCATATCTTATGCATCATACAAAAAAGTACGAAGTTCATAAAGTTTTTTTTGAAACTATTTTATTAAGATGTAATGCACTTGGGTACAAAGGTTTAAAGATTGTGACTGACCGAGAAGCAGCAATCATAAAAGCAATTAAAACAGTGCTTCCAGATATAAAATTGTTTTATTGTTGGAATCATTTACAAAGAGATGTTGGATTCTGGCTGAAAAAAAAATCAAATTCAGAACAAAGTGATGAAATAATTTATAAAAATAATATTTGGGACTTACTAGATAGTGAAAGTGAAACAGAATTCTGTAAGAAATTTCAACAAATGTCTTCTGTATGGAGTGCAGAATTTTTAAATTATTTTAAGCATAGTATAGTATCATAGCATAGTATCATCAAGCATACCAATTCCACTCATTTCAAAATCAACTATAATCCAAAGATGAAGTCAATAACTGTATTAAACAAAATGAATATATTTATATTGAACAATGACGAAAAAAATTAATATAGTTACCATGGCAATAAATGTCTACAGTTTTTCTTTCCACTGAATTAGGTATCAATTGAATTGTGTTTGAATGAAGAGTATCTAAAACGTAAGAACCCATTTGACATAACACTTTCATTATCTATATTATATTCATATTATACTAAAATATCTTGAAATTTTACTTGGAGATTGGTCCACGATGGGTGTTTGTTGTTCATATATCTTTTGATCTTTTTTTGTTTGGTTGGAGTTACTATAAAAGTATAAAATACAAAACAAATTATTGCATAAATTTAACATTAGTAAATATGTTAATATGCTAGCACATAATACCTATATTATTTACTCTTTGAAAAAGTACTTGGTAGGTAATTTAAATTTTGTACAATTGACAGGTACTGTTGAATAAAATAATATACTAAATACTATTTACCTGTAGAATGTAAATACTGTTGTTTTTAAGAACATTGTTGGACATTCATGACTCAAAAATATAATTTTTCTGCTCACACTTCAAAAACAGAAAATAATTGTTAGCCACATCATGCAACATTTAAACACATAATACAAACTATTTACTAACTACAATTTAATATACACATTTACACAAACCTAATCAGGCGTTCTAACCTTATTATAATTTTCAATTACTTAATACACAATATTATGTTAAATTATATTGTTTAAATAACAAACAAAATTTAGTTAATATTACAATAATTTGGTTAATATGTTAAAAACATTTGGTATGGATTGTACAAAAATATAATATAATATTAGGAATTAGGATGGACATAAACTAAATTAACATATAACAATTAACATATAAGACACATAACAGATATACAAATAATACAGAAGACGGACATTAATATCCTTATGTCAATACAACACATGTAAACCAAAACCGATGGTGATTTAATAGTGTTGTTACTTTTTGATAAGTTCAAAGTTGGCAATGAACCTTTTTTGAGTTTGCTTGTTCCTGGGCTCTCACAGCTTTTATCAAAATGAATGTGACATACAGCATACCGTTTACGAACTAAAGATTTATCCATTTTAAAAAGTTTTTCGTTGTTACAACACTCCAGCCAAATCTTGTAGTCGTCGTCAGTGTTTGGAAATACATGTTTTTTTTCTTTACTAGTACAACCAAGAACACTGCATTTAGTTGAGGGCATTTTACTATTTAACACATAAAAAATAAAACATACTAGGTACTACACCACACAATACACATTTGATTTAAAAACATTTCACTGCTTCAGTAATCAGTAATAAACGGGCAGTTATCAGTACTTTTCCATGAGTTGCAGCGCTATTGATGACGGTGGTACGATTTTGTATTAATTTTTATAGAACCATACAAACACGTATGAAGTTCATATCCCCTGAGACAGACAGACATAATAACATTGAACGTCTGTCTGTCCGTCCGTCTCATGAACCGTGTGAGTCCGGTTTTTTTTAATAATAATATATATATATGTCAGACACTTTGATGTATGTTTTAATAATTCGATGTTAAAAAAAATATTTACTAATATAAATAATATAAATGGAAAATATGAAAACACTTTTTAATATGATTGAACAACAACGTAAAATCTTCAGACCTATATTTAATGATAGTGATATTGATATTGATATTGATTCTGAAATTAGTAATATGTTATGGAATCAAATATTGGATAATTGTTGTTACGAAAATGTTGCAAATATGTTTATTACAAAAAACATAATCAATTAAAATCATTTAACTTTTTTTTAGTAATTGTTGTTTCGAAAATATTTTAAGTTTTATTAAAAATAAAAAATATAATGAAATTAAACTTTCACTAAACGAATTACGTAAATTAATACAAGAGGAATTACATGATTTGAATAATAATAATAATAATAATATGCAGCTAGAATGATTATTTTTTTAACATCCGGTATTGAATAGCTTATCTACTGACTACTATACAGCGTGAGTATATTATAGTATACAGTGTGACATAATTATACTAGCTTAATACTATTTAAATAGTGTTAAATAACATATATTACATGTCTAAGCATTGTGGCGTGGTGGGTTAAGGCGTGTATTTTGAGAGTGAACATTGTAGGTTCGAATCTGACTGCAGCAGAATTGTTTCTACTGTGTTTGCTCTCGTAGTAGGATTTAAATTGGTGGGGGTATCATAAAGCCGGTAATTGTGGCGCTTCGGACGATTGGTGATTTACATTTCGTAAGTTGTCACGTGGTGCGGCCTACGTTATCACCTTGATTTCTATCTATCTCAGTCTCCAAAGGCTGACGTATATGATATCCTCCTGACCTTTAGATTCTATAAATAAACCACGGCACCCAAAACGAAACAATGCTTAGGTAAAAAAAAATATCTCTGTTGAACAGACGGCCAGTTAAAAAAAAAAAAAAATAAAAAAAAGTGAGAGGTGGCCACCATTCTGGATGTCTGTACAGCACAGATATTTTGCAAATTTTTTGTGTTTTTTTTCGATTTAAATTATTATTAACACGGTCGTATAATTTGACCTTCTTAAATATTACAAGTCCTATATTTCATTTAATATTTGATATTATCAAGTCGGAACAACACAGATATGTTTTATATACTTATCTACACTACATATTAAAAGTTTACCCAACGCTTCATATTTTTCATTTAAGTATAACTCCGTTGCTATTTATGTTAGAATCTTCATTTTTACATTAAACATTTTTGATTTTAATTCTTTATAAGTCCCCCTCAAAGTATCATAGTGTAAAATCATTTTTAAAGATTTTTGGATTTTAATAACGCGTGTCCGAATGGGACACGCGTTAAATATTGAACATTTTTTTTTTTTTAATAGAACAATTCTATTAAAAAATTAAATTAATAAATGGTCTAATAAAGTCGACTCCATAATAAGGGTACATATTTTAATATTTCCTAAATCTTGATGAACAATAATATCATAGAGATATTTTTCTGAAAATTTACCTGTTGTAATTATTAAATCATTAGCTATTTTACAAATTTCAAGCCATGTTGGCGATTCTAGTATTTTAGAAGCATAAGGCTTTCCATTTCCATCTCCACAAATATTGCGACAATAATCGACAATTAAAATATTTCCTTTAATTGGAATTTTATTTAGATTATATTTCATTATTTTAATATTATTATTTTTATAGTATTCATATTTACGAAATTTAACAAAGATTTCATTATTTAATATTGATTTTTCTATTTCTTTTTTCATTTCATTTTTTTGTAATTTGTTAAAACCGTTTATAGTTGTTTCCATTATTTTATTATTTATTATATTTTTAATTTTTTTCAATTTCTTTTTAATACATTTTTGCAATTAAATATGTTATTTTTATTTTTTTAATAGAACAATTCTATTAAAAATTAAATTAATAATATAGTTATATTCTAAGCATCTTATGATCGGCATCTGTACCTCTCATGCTAAGACAACATATTATAATATTTCCTAAATCTTGAACAACACAAATATCATGGAGATATTTGAAAAAATAAGTACCGGTTGTATTTATTAAATCATTAGCTATTTTACAAATTTCAAGCCATGTTGGCGATTCTAATATTTTAGAAGCATAAGGCTTTCCATTTCCATTTCCATGATGATCTACAATTAAAATATTTCTTTCAATTGGAATTTTATTTAGATTATATTTCATAATTTTAATATTTTTTTTATTATTAGTATAAAAGTATTCATATTTACAAAACTTAACAAAGATTTCATTATTTAATATTGAGTTTTCTATTTCGTTTTGCATTTCTTTTTCTTGTAATGTATTAAAATCTTTGATAGTTGTTTCCATTATTTTATTATTTATTATATTTTTAATTTTTAAATTAATTTTTTCAATTTATTTTTAATACATTTTGCAATTAAATATGTTATTTCGATTTTTATTTTTGATAGAACAATTCTATTAAAAAATGTTTTGGAAATTATTTTTAGTATTTTTGCATTTCAGATTTTTTGAAAAATATTTTAATAATTATTGCGTTTCACGATTTGCAAAATAATTAAAGGAATATTGCATTTCAATTTCTATGAAAAAATATTTTAGGAAATATTGCATTTCAATTTCTATGAAAAAATATTTTAATAATTATTGCGTTTCACGATTTGCAAAATATTTTAATAATTATTGCGTTTCACGATTTGCAAAATAATTTAAGGAATTTTGCATTTAAAATGAAAGTGTACCATAGTGACCCCTATACTACTTATATTATAACAAAAATTTATGAAGTGTGGCATTTTGAAGAGAAATCAACAGATTTATTTAAAGATTATGTAGATAATTTTATAAAAATAAAATTAGAAAGTTCAAAACATAATTATAGCTGTAATGATGAGTATATAAAAACAATTTTCGATAAAATGGGTATTTTATTAGATAAATTAAAATTAGGTGATAATCCAGGTAGGAGAGCTGTAGCAAAGCTGTGTTTAAATAGTTTATGGGGAAAATTTGGACAACGACAAAAAATGAAAAAAACTGAGTTTGTTACAGATCCACAACAATTCTATAAAATATTATTAGATGATAGATTAGAAAATATCAATATAAAAATATTAAACGACAATATGATACAAATGTGTTATAATTATAAAGATTATTATGTTGAGAATTTTCATAATACAAATATATTAATAGCTTTATTTACAACATCTAGTGCAAGATTAAGATTATATGAAATGTTAGATAAATTAGGTAGAGCTGTAGCTTATTTTGATACCGATTCTATTTTCTATATAGATAATGGTGTTAATAAAATTAAAACAGGAACAATGTTGGGAGAATGGACTGATGAATTAGGTGAAAATGTACATATTACAGATTGGGCATCTAC